ACCACACGGATCAATAGCGCGCGCCCACGAGCTTGCCAACGCATTACCGAGCGACTCTGAATGCCTGAGTTTCTTCCGCAGCTATCGCGAAACCGCGCACGCCGTATACCCCGCCGTTGCCGACATCGAGGCCATCGAATCTGATCTTCTGCTCTTCCTGATCAACCGCGCCAGCTCACAGGGTACGAACGGCATCACGGATCAGCAAATATATGGGAAAGACTTTCACTGGATAGGGATGGTCTTTGCTATACTAGCTTCAGGATGCCAATGCTCGAGCCTGTCACGAAAAGAGAGGGAGTTGACATCGCAGGTCTACGTCTGCTGCAGCTTCGAGTGCCTGCGGTTCACCAATTTCTTATCGCACGCGACCATCGAGAACATACAGACCCTTCTTATCCTTGGAAACGTCATATCAAATAACATGAACGCCGGAGTTGCTTGGAGTCTGATGGGGTTGACAGTCCGCCTCTCGCAGACCCTAGGACTGCACCGACAGTGTCCTCCGTCAACGCCAGTGCAGCAAAGGGTCATTCGGAGCAAGACATGGTGGGCGCTTCTTTGGCAGGACTCGCTGCTGTCTGTGTCCTATGACAGAGCGTCGTCGACCACGACCATTGACCATACTGTACCCATGAGTCAACATACAGCGCCGGGGACGAGGACATACGTCGAGAGTATGTACCGATTGTGCAAAGTGGGCCTGGACATAGTGCGCGAGCGTCAACGGCCACAAAACTCACATGACGCCCTGATACGGATCACTGAACATCGCAACGAACTCCAGGAAATCATGATTGATGCCGCAGACTACCTCAAAGACTCGAGAAGATGCAGGTCGATGCGCGATCAGCTCGAACACTGGGCGCTGTACCTGCACATATCGTACGTCACATCTGAGCTGTGTCGGCCAGCCATCAGCCCTGCCACCGTCAATCTCGATCTTTCCAAGACACTGCGCAAGACATGCATCGACAGTCTCACCAACACGGTCGAAGCATTTCTCGGTCTGCAAAACATGACACCGTTTGCTACCCGTTCCTGGTCTGCTGTGCATCGCTCCTTGAGCTCTGCCCTACTGCTTGGTATCCTCGGCGAACACAACCGCAACGAACGGGCGCGTAGTCTACTGCAGAACGTAATCCAAGTCCTTACAGATGTCACAAAAGATGTCGATCCTGCCGAGCTCGCCACGCCCATTACGCGATCCGTCTCAGCTCTCGAGCGGCTGCTGAGAATCACCACGACTCACAACCGCAAGCCAAGTGAAGCAGGCTCACAGGCGTCCCCCACGATGCACGTCTTCACCGCACAGGACATCAACAATGCCCTCAACGGAGATGCCGAGAACATGTTCTCGCAGTCGCCATTGCTTGGCTTGGATCTTGACTCCTCACCGTATGCGCTTATGGAGAGCATCGTGTGGGGTGCGCAGAAATCACCGTGAGAAAATGAGGAGTGTGGAGAGTAGTCGGAAAGTAAAACAAAAGTCATGATACCCAGATGTGAGAGCGACGTAGCGCTGTCGAATGAAAAAGTCGAAACAACAATCAGGCTGCCATCATCATTCAAAGACCAAGCAGTTTGACTGCCTTCCAACCTGCTGCCTAATTGCGCAGAATGACAGATATTAATGCCGTTAGGAGGGAGGCGATTATTGGACCATGTGTTTCTGAGAACAAGTTTCATATCGCGAGTGATGATTTGGCCCGTAGTCCAGCGGCCGCTAAGTAGTAGTTTCAACTGAATGTAATGCGCTGAGAGGTTCTCTTGGTACCCACCTTGTCCGCGTCGAGTGAAAGCTTGCTGTCAGCCCTACCCATGACGTCGCTAAGCGAGGCGGCTGCGAGTGTTTGCCTAGACCCTGCATCATCATCAGAACCCGTGCAAACGACCCCAGCCGTCACCTAGATGGACTTGAGCGAGCGCCTTTCCTCTGAGCTTAAATGAAGGCTTAGCTCTTGCGTCGCCCCGCCACTCAGCAGTCGCCGCCATGTTCATGCTCCGAAACCGTAAGTCGAGCTTTGTTTGCCATGTTTCTCCTTCCCGAGCCGCTGCCCCTCCCCCTCCGTTGCTGCGACGACACTAACCTGTACCACCAGTCAGTAAATTTGTCTTTGGCGACAGCTCCAAGGAAACCATCGTCGAGATTGCCCAGGGTCAGCTTTACCTCGTCCGACCCCGCTCTGTCAAGGGATACTCGGAGCTTATATTCAAGGTACGCAAGCCCGTGATCCTGGACTGCATATGCATTAACGGCCTAGTAGGACGCTGCAGCTACCATCCGCCGCACCGGGCAGGAGTTCCAGTACCAGCTCGTCATCCAGCGCGCATACGAGGAAGGCGAGGAGGATCTCCTAGCGGAAGAAAACGAAGACGCGGCACTTGACGCGCTTGCAGGCGACAAGGACGAAAAGACGTTCCTGCTCGACGAAGACCTCCAGTTCCGCGACGACGTCCGCTCCACCGGCGAGAAGATCTTTGCGTGGCGCGACCTCAGCGGCGACGTCGACGACCTCTGGGAGTTTGTGTGCGACCCGTCAGTCAAGCCCGAGACCGCCTCTTTGTTTGAGCGCGTGGCCTTGCAGTGCCAGTACGAGAGGAAGTTCCGGAGAAGCCACGAGCACGCGACCGAGGACGACCTCGCTGCCCTAGCCTACTACGAGGAGCCCATCCCCGACGCGAGCCCCATCGCAAGCCCGACCCTTTCCAACGCCCGCGCCCTGCCCGTCGAGCCCCCCACTACCGAAGAGCTATTCCCCAATACAACGAAGGAAAAGATGGCCAAGAAGGTTGCAGGAAAGGGCACTGTCCCGGAGCAGGAGGATGCTACCGCCGCGCCGCCCTCTGCCGCCCAGCCTCAGGCGCTTGAGACCCTGGTCGAAGGAGACGCGGAGCTTCACCTCTTCGACTTCCCCTCTGGCACCTTCATGAAACAAGACGACAAAGTCAGTGTCACGGTTACCGAGATTGGCGACTGGAACTACTGGCTACACATTGCTGGCGAAGAGCGCGAGTGGCTGGGACAGCCCATCGTTGAAGACATCAACCCCGTCTTCAACTACGAATACAAGTCTTTTATCTTCAACCACTACCTTGACGACGGCTCGGCGTACTCATGGCTATTGAAGTTCAAGGATCAGGACGAGCTCGAGAACATTCAGCAAGGTGTGATGCAAGCCCTCTGGGAGCACCTGAACAAGGTCAAATGGGGCAAGGCAAAGGACACCGATCGAGAGTACGTCTTAGAGGCCTTCCAGGACTTGACTATGGAGGATGCGCCAGACGAGGAGCCAGAAGAGGAAGAAGAAGAGGACGAGGAAGAATACGAGAGCACCAACGAGCAGCGGAGCGAACACTACGACTCTGACGAGTCTGAAGATGACGTCGAGACTGGTCCCACCGATGGAGACCAGAACTCACAGCTGGCGGTTGGCTACAAACACGACAGATCCTTCGTTGTGCGTGGAAACAAAATCGGTGTTTTCAAGCATACCCCGGAGAACCAGCTGCAGTTCTCCACAACCATCTCCAACATCAAGACACCGGGAGGCAAGGCTTTCAACCCGAACAAGGTCATGTTGCACCAGCAGGATCGTGACATGATTCTTCAGAACTTGGAGAATCCAAACAACCTTTACCGGATGGATCTTGAGACTGGTACCGTTGTAGATGAGTGGAAGGTGCACGACGACATTCCCGTCAAGGTCTTTGCACCGGAGAACGTATGTATATATTCACTAACACCTGATCGTAAGCTGACATGTCGCAGAAATTCGCCCAGATGAGCGGCGAGCAGACCTTCCTGGGTCTCTCCGACAACGCGCTCTACCGCGTCGATCCACGTTTGGCCGGTAACAAGCTTGTCGACGACCAGCTCAAGCAGTATGCTACCAAGAACGCATTCTCCGCCGCTGCGACTACCGAAAAGGGACACATTGCTGTTGCGTCCGAGAAGGGAGACATCCGCCTGTTTGACAGGCTCGGCATCAACGCAAAGACCCTCATCCCCGCGCTCGGTGACCCAATCATCGGCATGGACGTCTCGGCCGACGGTCGCTGGGTCCTCGCCACCACGCGAACCTACCTCCTCCTCATCGACGCCCTCCAAAAAGGCGGCAAGAACGACGGCAAACTCGGTTTCGAAAAGTCCTTTGCCAAAGACGACAAGCCCCAACCCCGCCGTCTCGCCCTCACACCCGCCCACGTCGCCCAATTCCAACACGAAACCAAAGCACCCATCTCCTTCACCACCGCCCGCTTCAACACGGGTCTCGACGACAAGGAAACCACCATCATCAGTGCCACCGGTCCCTTCATCGTTACTTGGAGTATGAAGAAGGTGTTGGCTAACCGCAAGGATCCTTACAATATCAAGCGCTACTCTGAAGAAGTGAAGGCTGATAACTTCAAGTTTGGATCTGACAAGAACCTTATTGTTGCGCTGCCGAATGAGGTCGATATGGTGGCTAAGCGCGCGTTGCAGCGGCCGACCCGCGAGAGTATCGCTATGCCGAGTCGGGTTGGGGCGGGCAGGAAGAGTGGGGTTAGAGGCAGCTATCTTGGTAGGAACGAGATTGTGAATAGCCCGTACTAGGGTTGTGAATCGCCTCACGCTTTGGCGCCTTTTTCAGCGTGGTATGGGTGTGCAGTCTGGTCTGGTGGTGGTTGCGGTCATCATCTTGCGCGGCGTCGGCGTTGTGTTAATCTTTCTTTCTTTCTTCTTCTTCGACGAGCTACGGATGCTGTGACGATGGGATGCGAGTAGCTGGTTTCCTATATGATTCCCCTTTTTAGATCGAGACTGGAAATGGCACGTGGGTTTATTGTAATTTGCGTTGTTGGTGATGTGGTTGAAGATGATGTATCGTTTTGTTGGTTGTAGGGATGGTCCGGTCGCCTACGACTTCTGGGTTCCAACATGCACAAGAGCTGTGCCGCATATCCTTCCACCTTCAACCCCTCGACCTTTTACTTCTAGGAAGATAGCCAATCCCAGGATGAGTGTTCGTTCTCGACGCCCGGCCGCCCAGGTCGATTCGACATCTCACACCCAGGTACGCATGTATTTACCGCATATGTGAACATCAAGGCTGATAGCCGCAAGACCACGCCTCGTGATCAAGCAGGAAAGGAGCAACGAATTTCCTTGCTGACGTGGAATGATATACGTAAGATCAGTCGATTTAGATTCAAGTTTTAACAGCTGATCGATACTGTAGCGAGTTGGTACCAGTACATTCATCATTGGCCTTATCCGTCATCGACATGCGCTCATTAGTATCAGGGACAATGAGTACATTCTATCAGGCTACAGGTAATACTCCTGAGCCCCCCTTAACGAGGACGGCTTCTAACAAGACCGATACACAGGCCCGTCTCAAACTCCTACGTGCAGTCCTTTCGCAGCATCCTCAATCTCCACAACGAAACAGGTAAGCCATCACACAGTACAACACCTACAAAAGACGAACTGACTAACCCCTCTCCAGCAAACATACTCTCACATCTCATCGGCTCAGCACTATTCTTTACTCTCCCCATCCCCATATACTTTTCCCTGCAGCAGCCAAAATACGCCACAGCAACCACATCCGACATGATCGTCTTCTCAACCTTCTTCCTCGGTGTCGGCATCTGCTTTGCACTGTCCGCAACGTAAGTCCTTCATCACACATTGACTTCCAACGTTACTAGCGCCTAGGAAGTGACTACTAACACACAACCCCAGTTTCCACATCATCGCCAACCACAGCGAAACCGTCCACGTCTTCGGTAACCAGCTCGACTACGTACGTAACCCAACACCCAATCCCCACCAATCCCACCACAGCCACTAACTACCTCAGCTCGGCATAATAATACTAATGTGGGGTTCCACCATCCCAAGTGTATACTACGGTTTCTACTGTTCCCCCCACCTACAAATAACATACTACACTCTCGTATCCGTCTTAGCAGGAGCCTGTATCTACGCAACGCTGCACCCAGCTTTCCGTCGCCGGAAGTATCGTGCGTACCGCGCGGCGATGTATGCGGGTCTTGGTTTCTCGTTCGTTATTCCTGTTGTGCATGGTTTACTGGAGTTCGGTGTGGAGATGCAGATGGGGAGGATGAGTTTGGATTGGATGGTGGTGATGGCGGTGTGTAATCTTAGTGGTGGTGGAGTGTACGCTCTGAGAGTAGGTCCATGTGTCCTGGTATTGTTTTATGCGAAAGAAAAGGAATGGGGAACTGACCACATACAGATCCCAGAGAAATGGTATCCGTACCGGTTTGATGTTTGGGGTTCGAGTCACCAGATTATGCATTGCTTGGTTGTTTGTGCTGGTGTCGCGCATTTGTGCGGTCTGCTGAGGGCATTCGACCATGTTCATGGGCATGGAAATGTTTGTGCGGTGTAACGAGTGATACGTTGTTATACACATAGCACTCAACGCACACATCCAGCGTGTCAATCAGCAGCTTAGATAGGTTCTTCAGGAGCACGTTCCGATTCCCATGCAGCGCGCTGATGATGGTAAGGTAATGTAAGTGCAAATCGAAGCGGTTGATGAACTTTGGTTTGCGGAGGATGTACGCAGATGCCGTGTTGGGGTAGTTGCAGCGCAGTGTTAAATGCTCTGGGCGAGCGGGTTCAGACACGGAGGAGAGTGAGACGTTCAAAATTTGAATGAGTGATGTTTGATTGCTGTTTGATACAAACTGACGAGCACGCCCGAACGACGGTCACGCTATCGTGATGAGTTTGTGCTTAGGATGTAGCTAGAGGTCACGATCGCAGGCGCATATTTGATGCGATAGGATGTTTCAAGTCGATGTAATTGAATCGACGCAAGCGCTTGAAGCGCAGAATGCGTTGTCTGGATGACAGTCGTTCAGATCAAGAAGTTAGTACCACAGAATTTTCACCTCACAGCACGCAGCGCCATAACATCACGACATCACGGAGGCAGCCATGCGATAGCACAGCGATGCCGAACCACATCCACGCATAGCATGGACGGGATAGCCAAAGGCCCAAGGTTTGTTCAGGAACGGTCATATTGTCTATGAAACATTCCTCAGCCACCACGCTGACGCAAGTCAACGCAGACCCGTTTGTAGGGTAACTGCGGACTTGAAGATCCATCCCAATCATTGCCGTTATGGTATCCTTTTGTATCATTCCGAGACGCCGTTTCATGCACAATCGTGTTGTGTGAGTGATGGTTGATCGTATCGCATCGTATCGTTCTGGCGCTTATGCGACGAGCTGAACGACACCACCAGCCTCCTTGATCTTCTTCTCAGCCTCAGCGGAGACGTAGCGGGCGCGGACGACGATGGGGACGGCGGGCAGACGACCCTTTCCGAGGACCTTGGAGTAACCGTAGTCGAGGAGGTTGAGGACGGGGGCGTTGCCGGACTTGTTGGCGAGGTACTCGGCGCGCTTCTCGGCGGGGATGAGCGACCAGAGCTTGTCGAGGTTGATGACGGGCTTCCAGAAGAGGTTCTGCATCTTGTGGAAGTACCTCATACCAACCTTACCGAAGTAACCGGGATGGTACTTGTCGATGTTGGTCTGGTGGTGGTGCTGACTAGAATAACGAAGTCAGTGTTTGTTCCACATGCATTTCGTACACGGATAGTACTCACCCACCGGCCATACCACGACCACCGGGATGCTTCCTGTGCTTTCCGACACGTCCGTGACCCTGGATGCCGAGTTAGCACTATACAAAAGGGCTTCGCGGGATGATAACTTACGGCGGAGACGTGACCGCGGTGCTTGCGGGTCTTGGTTAGGCGGGTAGGCATCTTTGCGTCGTGATGCTGTGGGTTAGTTGTCGAGCGAAAGTTCGATCGAGGGACGGCGCTGGCGATTTTCTTCGTTGAGCGGAAAAGCTAAGCGAGGTGCGCTAGTGGCGGTCACGTGCGGGATCCTTGTCGCATCGTTGCATCGCCTCATCGTTGCGGCCTCGCATCCTCGGGGGCCGGGAACATCAAGGTGCGCAGGATAAAGGCATGATGGGAGAAATGTTGGGTTCGATATAATACGTGGGTGTCGTCTTTCAGTAGTAATACTCCGCCGGTTCCCCGCTATCGCTATGCAATACAGACTCCATCCATCAACGTCGCTGATTCTTGTACTACCCTACCCCCAATACGGTGTCCGCAGGCCCACGAAAGTCGAGCCAACACCATCACCCGAGTCCTCCTTCTTGCGCTGTCCAGCAAGCTATTCAAAGTCAGCAATCGCGTTCCGAACAAACACCATCAGATGCCAAGTACCTCTAACTGAATATGCCTATGCACATGCACAAGCCAATCCACATAACTCTGCGCCTCATTATTCCGATCCTCATACAACAGCCTCGCAAACTCGTATTCCGCACCATCCAGACCCTGTCGTGCAAGCTGGATAGTAAGCGCCTTGGACGCCCTCGTACCCTCCAGATACTGCAGTATATTCCTGACTTGGGCGTTGAGATGGGTTTCGAGGACGGGGAGGGTAGATTGGAAGGGATCGAGCGCTTTTAGACTGTTGTTGCCTTCGCCGAAGAGGTCTTCGAGGAGGTTGGGTGAGACTTGGGTGTGCAGCCATAGGAGGCAGACTTGGCCGTTGTCGACGATGTAGGCGCCGCCTTCTTCGACTTTGGAGAAGGAGGCTCGGATGTTTTCTGGCATTACGAGATGGCCCTTTTCGTTTGCGAAACCGTCGCGAGCGTCGAGGTTGTGGATTGCGATGATGCGGGGGTAGAGGTATAGCGACATCTCCAGTGGGCCCATCGACTTGATCATGCGCATGTCGTGGACTCTTCGGTCGGTGGGCTCTTTGCCACCCTTGAAGGCTCTTGACTTGATCAGTCCGAGAATATACATGCCGAACTCCTTCAGGTTCTCTGGGAGCACGAGCTGTCCGGGAGGGTTGTTGCCGGTGAAGTTCTTCCTGTAGCCAGCAAGAATGTCAACAGTCTTCTCCGTCAAGGCTCCCCTAATCTCCTTGAGGTTCTTCTCTGTCATGCGAGCGGCAGCTTCCTTGGCGATGATGTTTACGACGGCATCCTGATCGACAAACTTCATGCATTCACCAGTGTTCGGACTAACGCTGGCCACGATGTTCGTGCACCGCACTCGCCGCTCACCGTTGGCTGCCGTGTATAGTAGCGCACTCTGGAAGTGAGCATCAAGCTTCGGATCCAGCTTGCCATCGTAGCTGAACATGACACCGATAGCCTTGTCAGCGTCAATGACTCCGAACTCTAGATCGGCGCCAAAAGTATGGTGGTAGAAGTTTCCGTGATAGGCAGAGACCTGCAGGCCATTTGAGCAGCGAACCTTCATCAGCGCTTGATATCCGGTTTCTCGCGTGACTGTGTGCTGGATCTCCTTGGATAATTTCAGGATATCCCTTGGCGCATGGAAGTTGGGGTAGTAGAAGACTTCTCCACCTGTTACAGCGGAAACGTGGCCGATGGTCGCAATGTCGAGGTACCCTCCACTGGGCGCAGCAAGGAAAAAGTCCACACCAATTCCATTCTGCACCATCTTCTCAGCAACCTTCTTGAACCCAGGATGCTCAGTCTGAAGAAGCTTCTTCTCAGCATCGGTGTTGTGTACGTTGTTGTCCTCACGTAGCATCAGCCGACCAGGACCCCAAGTCGGAAGCGCAGCCAAAGAGCACACAATCTTTCCGCCTGTAGCTGACAATGCTGCCACGGCAGAGTTTAAGCAAGGTAATAACGCTGGCTCTGGATTCTTGACTTCAGAAAACATGGTCGGTAGCTGTGCGAGAAGCGATGTGATGACGCTCTTGCACTCCACGGGGTCGACGAACAAGCCTTCGCTGAAGGGTAGGAAGGGATCTTCAAGGTCAGACATGACGAGCATTTGAGCGCTCGTCAAGCTGGCGTTGAGGTTGTAAAAGTGCATCTCCTTGTCGTATGTGACGATGCCCACTTTAGCACTCTTTGGTATCCGAGTTGTAGTCTCGGCGCCCTCTGTCTCTGCTTCTTCGCCATAGAGCGCTTTCATGATGCCTTCACAGAAGCCATGGAGGAAACCACGGTTTACAGCCTCGGCGGTCACATCGACAAGGAACAACCACCGTAGACCGACAGGCTCTTTCGACCAGTATTCCTTGGGTACGAGGAAGTCGACAGTGCCCAAAGTGAGCTCCGGCCGTTGTAGTCTGTCTATCCGGACGCCAGACTGATCGGTAGGCGCAAAGTATTCGCCGGGAACGTCGCCCGGGTATGTACACAGGTTGCACACGACCTTGTTTCCGCCGGCCTTGAACTGCATGAATGGATTGATGTACGCGCGACACCTTGCACATCTTGGTGGACCGGACTCGCCAAAGTCCAATACGGGTATAGCTTGCTCGCCTTCTTGTTGAGCAGCCAGCGGCTGCAAGACCATACCAAGCGGTAACGAAGTCGCAGCAAGGGCTTGCGCAGTGAGGGGAATGTTGTTCATAGTCAACCGTGCGAACTTAGGTGAGGAGTTGCCCTGGTCAAAGGCTACGAAGGGGACCGTGGCGGGAGGCGGTAGGTGGTGCTCCATAGTCGGGTATACGTTTTCTAGGTAGTACTTCGCCGGCGCATCGCGCGACTTCGGTATGCTGGGAATCTGCTCGGGATCTACACGTCCTTGAGCTGATCCAACCGCCGCTCCTCCACTCTGATGTGGTGCTGCTGGTGTTCTCGCAGCGTACTGCATAGGTGAAGCCTGCGATCCAGGACTGAAGATAGGGTTTACGGGTGCGGGAAACTGGCTCATGGCGGGAGTGATCTGGGGCTCCATCCATTGCGCTCCTCCGACTTGAGGCGAATTTTGGTATTGTGTAGGTGTGCCA